TGCCAGCCGGTCACAATGCTGCTTGAAGAGGGCTGGAACAAGTGTGGTGAGTCACAGGTAGGTACACAGCACGTGGAGGGTGGCAGCAGCCAAGGCCTCCGAAAGCTGCTCTCATCCAAAGCCTCCTCTCTGATATGTTCGGCTGCTAAAAAACCTGGGAATTAGTCAAACAAAATGGCCACCGGAGACTGAGACCTTCTCAAAATGGCCGTGCTCAGGAGATATGCAGCAGGGCCTCAGGGCTTCCCAAACAGTCGAGCCCAACAGAAAACTTACTGCATGGTCTGGAACCTTGCCACTGGTTGCATTGAAGCTGGACGGGTTGCTGAAGCCTTGGACAAGCCCACTGGTGAAGAGAAACAGTCCCGGTGCGAGGAGCAGCCCCAGAGAAGGCAATAAAGCCGCTGGGGGCTGAAGGCTAGCACCTCTAACCAGAGAGGTAAATACAACCTATCAATCAACTAAAACACTAGGAAAGAAAGGAAGTAAAAGTAAAACACTCTAAGGAGCCAAACACAATAGGAAAAGAGGGGGAAAAAACTCTCAAACTAAGGAGCTATAGTAAAATGTGCCCTGATGGGCTTTAGAATGAATTGAAAAACTAAAGCTAAGGGAAGTCAGGAGGCATGGCCAAGAATTTCAATCCAGTTCTTGGGCAGTGTGACAGAATTTAACCCCATGCTTGGACACTCCAAGAAGTGCACAGGAGAATAGGTGAAATGCAAAGAACAAACTTTCTAGGATGTCTTATTCTGGTGCTACCTTCTCTACTGGTGACAGGAAAGGGCCTTACCTGTGAATCAGAGCTCCAGCTGCTCTGCAAAACTGATTAATGAGAGTTGATTCTTCCTCAGATATAATCTCAGGATGCAGAGTGAAAGAGGGAGGTCTGGGCAGTTCACACTTTTGTTTGTCTTCCCAAGACTTTAGGGTATTTTCAAATGCCTAGGGAGAGAGGAAAGGGACAAGAGCCCATTTGCTTTTTAGAAGAAAATATATTTGTGTATGTGTGTGTACCAGGGGTGGGTTCCAGCTGCCACTACTGCTGGTTCACTCATGGACGTGCTGCGCGCCCACACACGCAATGCAACAAAATTTGCTCTGTGCATGCACAGAAGGCAAAAACAAGATGGCGCTGCCGAGAGAACCGGTTTGGGGGCGTGGCAGGCCTGGGTCACTGCCAGTGACCTAGGCTGCCAAGTTATTACCGGTTCGGCCAAATCGGCCCAAACCAGTAGGGACCCACCTCTGGTGTGTACAGTATATGTATAGTTTTTTCCTTATAGAATAATCCATTTATATAATAAAAATTACATCCAAACCTTTGGGCATGGGCATGTTTGGAGATTGAGATGGAGTTAGTTTTACTTTGCTGAAAAAATAACAGAGTTATAGGACATATGAATGAATAACAAATTATTATTATATGAGCTTCTGTGTGTGGGGGGGGGGGAGCCCACTTCATCAAATACATGTTACAGAAATATGTGTTTTAGAAAATGCAAATAGTGGTGGCAATCAACTTAACAGGGGTTATCTACTATTGATGTTATAAATATTTTGCCACTGGATAAGGAAATTCACAAAGTGGGATATCTAACCCATATTCTTATTAGGTGGATTCTCTTACCCTGTCTCTGGTTAATGTTTGTGCCCTGTTTTTATGAACAATCCAAATATATCCTGGGGGCTGAATCCAAGCCTCTCCATCAACTTGCACAGGGACTCCCTCATCTCCGAGGATTGCAATCTTCACAGTTCGGCACTAAAAAATATATATATATAGTTTTAATTACATCCTAAAATTGTAAAAGCAACTTACAAAACGATGTCTGCTTTATGCTACCCAAAATATATTTTATATGTCCAATATAAATAAAAGATTTCCCCAAAAATGGTATTACTGCTCATACTAACTGTAGGGATTTCTAAGATCCAACTAAAATAGAACATTATTTAGAAACCAACCTATATGGAACTTCGTTGATTACTGTCTTTACTAATCTTTGAACCTTTAACATAGAACTGTCAGGTTTAACTTTTATATAATACTTAATTTTCTATAGTCCTCTCAAAGGAAATCATCTTATAGATAAAAATAAACTTAGTAAACACCTGGGCTATCCGATGATGCTGAAGATTAATTACACGAGAGACAGCCATCTGCATACTTCCAAATACTGCAACCACTTCTAGGATCTTATCATCAAAAGAAGGAGCTGTAAATGTCTACCGTAGCAAAGAGAATTAAACAAATTAGAGTTGCTTCAATGGATTCTTTTTGCTCTCAATCATGACAAACGAGGAAGCAATATATAGACATGTTGTACTTTAAAAGGCATATGTGTATTGTAATTCTACAGAAAATGGAACAAAATAATACATTCTTCATTCTTAAAGTAAAAAAAAAAGACAAATGCAAAAGAAGCAGATTTTACTTTTCATGTCACTACTGGTGACTTCATGTTACTGCTAGTCAAAAGAAAAATTAAAACCATAGAAACAACAAGAATATTCTTATGAGTTCATGAAATTATGAAAAGATGAAAACGAATGCTTTGTTTCAGTATTCAGTATCAAAAAAGGTAAAAAAAGATGGAAAGGTGAGAAATACTCACATCATCTTCTTTAGTTCCTCCCCAGAAGTTTGTGCCTCCTGCATAGCTGGGGATGTTGAGGACAGCAATTCCTTGAAGACTGGGCAAAGGGATTGGACGCCCATCACACTATACAATATAAAGCCAATTTTATGTAAAGTTTTAACCACAGTTTCATAGTCTTGATTAGTAAAACATCTTTAAAATGCTAGAGAACAAAGGCAACTGATCAGAATTAATTTGGGAACTTTCTACATGGTATCACTGCTGATGCAAGGAAATATTTATAATTAGAATTTTTAAAGAAATATCATAATATTTCTCACCAATGAGCTAATCCCCGTGTAGACATTAGCATTTGGTTAAAAAAGAACCTGAAATCTTTCTACCAAAATAAAATAATGAAGGGGAATTCATTGCAATCTTTCTTAAAAATTCTAAAGTCATTTCTAAATAACTTCTATTATGAATATATGAAAATGAATTAAAGATCCAATACATTTTAAATATTGTGAATGGGTCCATAAATTTTAATGTGATTTTATTTAACATAATTTTGCATTAAAATATATAAATGATTTCTAATGCTCATCAAATTCAGCAATTCGGTATTTGTATCAGTAAGTATCAGTGAAATACAGCAAAAAATTAGGCGGTGCAGAACATTCAAAGAGCACTTCATAAAGTGTCAAAATGCATTTCCTCAAAGCACTGAGACAGCTGAGTCCTCCAGTAGTTTCAGGCTGACTGTTTTAGGTTCTTTCTCAGATTGTTTAAACTTATCTGCTCATGTACAGCTATTCTGTTTAACCAGCGGTCTCAGTGGAAGTGTTGTCCATGCAGCCTGGGAAGGCCTCTAAAACAGGTATGCTGAGCTTTGTAGAGAACATGGCTGTTTCAGGAAAGGTACTCCATTCACATAGGTATGTTTTACAAAACCCTAATAGCTAACAGAAAACTATTTGCAATTTTAAGGCACTCAAGTATGTTTAAAAGATATAACATGAAAATCACAAACCATAGCGCACAATCAAAAAGTTCATCTGTTCACTTCAAATAATTTTTCAAAAGGCTATTTTAAATACATTACCTCTAACAAAACCTTCTGTTCTAAGTTTTTGTAAGTTCTGTGTAGCAGTTCCTTTGTCCCAAGAACTCCGTACCACATCATATTTTTTGTACGACTTCTAATAAAGGGAAATAGAAGTAAAATTAAATATATGAAAATTATCACTAAAAATGTCACAATTACTTATAAAACAAGAAGTATTAAAGGAAGTATAGATGTATATTTGCAGTTAATAGGGAAAAGGTTTAAAACAATATAAAATAGATTGTACTACCTGCATTTCTCTGGATGTTCATCACGCTTGTTGTTGAAATCCAAAGAAATTTTTGCATCCAAGCCAATTCCAAAATAATTATTCATGACACATTTCTCTATGTAGCAATCACTGCAAGATGAATGATATCATAAACAAATTGTTTTCATGTGATGGAATAGTGTAGCATCCTTTCTATTTTCTATCCATATTGCAACACTGTATTTATTTATTTACTTAATTACTTAACTTATATTCCACCAAACTCACTGTAACAGTAACTCTGGGTGGAAACAAACACACACACACACACACACACACACACACACACACACACACGAATATGATTTCCATTGAATAAAGAAACAACAGAACTAAAAACAAAGTAGAAGCTGAATGAATAATAATATATGAATTTGTTCTTGAAGATATCAGAAACATGGCTGGCCATGAATTGAACGATAAAGAAAAATATTGTGAACAATGGTGGTGTAGACTACATCCTCTAGCTTAATTCTGGCTTCTAATTTCTTTTGCTTACTCCTTCCTATTCTTTTTCTGAACTCAATGTGCTCAACCTGAATGTTGTAATGGCTACCTATCTACCTACCTACCTACCTACCTACCTACCTACCTACCTACCTACCTACCTACCTACAAATCTATCTATGTATCTATCTATCAGTGA